TATTAGTCTAACACATCACTTTGAAAGTGAACTGAGTCTCTAAATGCTGTACCAGTAGCCTCAGACCAAGTCTGGTTACACTAGTCCATGGATAGCATTCTTGACCGGTGTAAATCGGTACAACTCCATTGACACAAGTGGAGTTTTGCCCATTTACACCAGCAAGAGAATCTGTCCCTTTGTTATTTCCTTGTACTCTACAAATCCATCAAGGTCAAATGAAGCACCCATTGGTCTCAGACAGACATATTATGTTGTAAGCAGATCCGCTTTCCTGCTGTTATGATAATAATTTACCAAATTTGGTTTTGGTGGAAATTTTCAAATTCATGTCTATCATGGATAATACACATAATAATACCATTTAGGGGGTCATAAGGCCATTATTGCTTGATTTTTTTTACCAAAGAGCTTTCCTGTACTCAGCTTAACCGCATGCAGCCGGGCACCTTCAGCTCTGAAGCCCAGTCCAATGGGGTGCGTATAAGACTTGAAGACACTTGGCTGAATGTAGCTAAAATGAAAACAGAAGTGAAGATTCAGAGGAAAAACCAGCACAGATAGGGACAATATCCTGTTCAGAGTACCAACCTGCCAACCCTTCTCAGCAGTAGACGAATTTCCTTATGCAAATATTTACGGGGCTTTTTACTGAACGCATATCAATGCATCATATTGGAAACATACTATTAATAAATCCTGGTTGCATCCCAGCCCATTTATGCCACTGTGACAGCTCAAAGGGGCCTAAAAGCAGCCAGATTTGTTCAGCTAAAAATTCTCCTTGTATTTTGAAACTTTCAGCTGGTGTGCCCAGGTGCTATACCCTGCTCCCCAGTTGGCTGCAGTAGGAGGGGCATGCTGGGGGCAGGAGGGATATGGCTAGAGTTGCTGTGTTCAGACTATCCCATGCTGGTGTGTGGTCCCTGGGTACTGTTGCCAGTTGGCATGAGTTACAGCAGCCCCCAGGATTCCCTAACCTAAACTGGGCTGATATTGGCACAGAGTGGCACTGAGGATCAGGACGCCATAACAGGCTCCCTAAAGCTCCCCCACCTGAGCTGCCCCAACCAGAAGCTCTGTGCAGCACAGAACATAGGGGTAATTTGAGCATACAAAAGAATTACACCTTTCTCTACTAACACACAGACTCTACCACTACTTGTTAAACTGAGTCCAGTTTCAGCTCAAATTGTCAGTTTTTCTCTAGAGCTCCTGCAAGCTTGAAGGCTAATGTGTAATTTTTGAACAGTGACCACACAACTTTCATATTCTTTTGTTTTGAAATAAACCTAGTTGTCCATTTCTATTGCATGTCATACACCGTTCTATTCATCACTATAGCAGGCAGGCTTACTGGCCCTATTCGGTACTCTTCTGCCATACTGCCAGTGCAGAGCGGCCCAAAGTCAGCATATCTCGCTACTGCAAGATCACCTAAACATAAGGGAGCCTCTGATGGTGTAGAGTCAACATAGTGGCTCCTACATCACTGTCTCCACGCTGCTCCATCAGAAGGCATGGATGGTGCATTGCGGAGCACCGGGGGTTCCCTTGCAGCCAGCAGAACCTGTTCTAACTAAACTAACACTTAAAGGGCTAGCATGGCACACAGCCAGGCTATGATCAGGAGAATATAAAGGAGGGCTCTATGACATATTTGCACCACCTCCTGAGCTATCATAACCAGGAATCTGGCTCAGTGACTTCCATGTCTTCACTACAATAGGTTTCCCTGCCAAGAAAAGCATTCTAAAGTGCTTTCATGATTGAACATTTAGTATTTTTCTGTATTATCTATGCCAAATAATATTTCTAGGAGAAGAACTCAATACTTTTGTTTTCAACACCACTTTCAGTATCAGTTACTGTTTTTGTCACTACAACCTATTATTTTGGTCTACAACCAAATAATATGTTGTAAATTCCCTTCTGTATTTCAGTTTCTCCAGCATGTCTCATGAGTCTACAGAATCTTTCTACGACTTAATGTAGAGTTCTCCTCAAATAACAGGATTCCAGAATATGATTTCATTTCATTATTCCTATAGCTATCAAACTTTCATACTTTTTTCTACTTTCTAAATTCCTCCTGAAGTTTCTGTAAGATGGGAAGAAAAGTCTAACAGAGCAAGTCTACTGAATCGGTTACATGTACACTTAAAGATTTTAGTTTTGTAGATACTTAAAAAAGCCTGACATAAGGTTCTCTAACTTCTTTTGCTCATCAATATAGTTTGTAATTCTGTCTTTTGAATATTCATTCTGTAGACCGGTATCTGGCTAAAACTAATTCCTGTAAAACTGCAGCTGTTGAAGATAAAGGATTGTGTAAACGATTAGGTAGAGCCTCTGAAAAAGGGATTGTTTTATGTTCTGTGGTCTAAATTATTGGCCAAGTAATACACCCATTAGCTCCAACTTTTTGTCAAGCACTTCTATTACTAGGTCAATCAGAAGTGGTCAGACGTTGTACTTATCCTGTTCCCTCTTTCAGGAGTATTTCTTTAGGAAGGGAACAATTTAATAAGATAGCTCTTGAGATTAAATATAAGGTATCTGTTTCCTAAATTTGGAACTAGATCTATTTTGCTCAAGACAGTCTATTGGTTGATCTAGTTAAATACTTTCTCTAAATCATGAGGTAATAAGGCAGGTTCCTTTCTCTTTGACAGGGCTGAATAGATGTCACAGATTGTCTGAAGACTGCTTTCCATAAATAAAATCTGTTTGGACTTTATGTATCAATGCTTAATTTCAGTCTCTAATTTTGTTGCAAGTGTTTTGGCATAAATGTCAATGTCTGTATTTAAAAGGGCAATTGATCAAAACAGGGATTCATACCCAACTATCTGTTTCTCCTATATGTGTAGTGGTAGCATGATGCATTAGTCCTGGGAAACTCCCTTTTCTCGTGTAGTTTTCAATAGCTCTTACTCAATAAAGGGGCTTTTACTGCTGGAAAGTTTTTTAAAATGTAGCAATATAGCCATCTGTCCCCAGATTTTTCCTAAAGTTAGGCTGTTTACAACACTTTCAATTTCAGTTTTAGCTCAGGATATCCCTTTACCTAATTGTATCTTCTGATGAGAAGATAGGTAGTTTTGTTTTTTCTAAATAATGTTGTATCTGTTCTGAGATAGTTACATATTGTGGGGTATGTAAATTAGCCTAGAAATCCCAAAAAGCTCATTTAATAATTCTTAGATTTTGCTTCATACCCTCTTTGGTTTTAATTTGACAAATATATTTCTTATGAGCTCTCCTTTAAGCAGATAAGCCAAAATCTTGTCAGCTTTATTGCCCTTTTCAAATAAAGCTCTTTTGACTAGCTTTATTGGCCACTAAGTGTTCACACAGCAATGTACTGAGTTCTTCCCTTACATATATTAGCATTCTATATTGCTTTTGTTTTCCTGCACTTCAGGAGAGCCTCCAGTCTTTTAGTTTTCCTTTCAAGGAAGGCAATTCTTTCAAACAGTCTTTCTTTTAAATTGCTCACCATTTCCAATAACTTATCTTCGAATTGATACAGTAGCATTACAAGTATATCCCATAAAGTTTAATTTTACATATTCCAGAATCTTTCATTTAAATTTGCAGCTCGACCTTCATTGTTCTGCACCAAGGTATCATTTAATTGCCAATATTTTCATTGTGTTTCTCCTTTATAGTTTGTACATCTAACATGTCTAGAGTCATTATACAAATTGTGATTTCCCATAAATATAACTAAATTGTTTTCCCAACTTAATGATTTACTCAAGATGTGTTTGTGAGGGATACTGATGTAACCCTTCTGCCAGGTGAAGTCGGCAGCAAAAAGGGCTGGGTTCAATATCTAGGTGTTCCTCTTAACAATACAAAACAGAGCTGGCTCACACCCCCATCCACTAATCTGGGAAAATTTAACACCACCCCTGGGCACCTCTAAGAGGCAAGACTTCTATCTGACTTGGAATTGTAGGGGTTCCACTGCCACTGGCTGCTCACAGAGTGCTATAAAGGTACCATAGTCCCTCCTAAAAATACGCCCACACGTTCTGCATTGGCTCAGGCATTCTCTGGCTGCCTGTAAAGTGGATTTAACTGATCCCTCACCAAATGCCTGTTATTAGCAAGCAATGGTGGGCAGCATGTGGAAGCTGGTAGACTTTGGACACCAGTCCCCACCGTCCCCGGCCTAAGATGCAGAGTTGTTAAAGAAAATGCCAGGCTTCTTAGGGAGAGGGGATAGTGTTGCTACCTGGTGGTGTGGGCTCTGCCTCAGAGTCCTAGACACCATTTGACCTTCCACCTCTCTGCTATTTAAAGACAGAGCTGATTAGTCTCAATTGTCAGTCATTGTTTTGTTCAGTGCTCATTCAAACCGAAATTATTGATAACCAGGTCTGGCTGCTGAGCCTTAGGCCTTCTGCGAGACAGCGTTGCAGTGCAAGAGACTGCCCAGCCTACACTAACAGTGATGTTCCCCACTACTCACTTAAATTACAGAGAACTGAAACCACTGAGAGCTAGGTTAAATGGTGAAACCGCAGAATGTGGCACTGTAGAGAGTGGCAAGTGGCAGCAGAGAAGCAGCAGCGCCAGAGTGAATGGCGGCAGCAGCAGGCAGCAACGGCAGAGTGAATAATGGCAACTGTGCATCAGTTGCAGAAGTGTCAGCAGCAGCTGAGGCATTGGTCAATGCTTCCCCTCCCTCCAGGGGTAGGAAGTGAATGCACATGAATGCACTTTAGAACTCTGGGTCTTTGCCGACCCAGGACAGCTAACAGTGAGTGGGGAGCAGTGGAGGGAGAAGGGAGTGTTGTGCTAAAGGGACATTTGTTTGTTGGACTTTCACACCAAAAGGTGGGAAACTGAGGCAAAGGACACTGCTGAATGCATTATGGGGTGGGGTTGGCTTATAATCACATTTTCAAATATGGTCATAGTGTTTTCCCAAACTAATGCTGGGTTCCCATTCCCTTTTAATAAAAGTTCTTGTTTGTTATACACAGACTCAGTGCCTGCAAGTGGGGAAGTCTTGCCGCTTAGAGGTGCCCAAGTATGGTGGTAAGTTTTTCCAGATTAATGGATGGGGGGCTAGGGGCAGTTCTGTTTTGTAGCATTGAGAGGAACCCCTAGATATTGAACCCGGCTCTTGTTGCTGCTGACTTCATCTGGCAGAAGGATTACATACATAGCCTATAAAAGCGCAAACACATCTTAACAAGAAAACTGTTTTTCTTTGGTAGCCTGCCAACTAGCTGGTGCCATCCACTCAGAAACATTCCAACAATAACCTGGGATAGACCTCAAACATTCCTCCCAACATCAACATTTTAATTAGTGAGCCAGTGTAGGCTGTAAACTTCCAGATCCTGCAAACACTTAAGCACTTAACTTTACTCACATGAGTGGTTCCATGACTTCAGTAGCACTACTCATGTATGTAAAGTTAAGCATGATCATAAGTATTAACAAAACTGGGGCCCAAGTTTGTAGCATATCCTTAAATTTTTAAAAATCACAATTATAAACTAGAAACACATTCTCTTACAACAGCCTTTCTAAAACATTGGTATATTTTCTTTGTAAACTATCTTTAAGTTGATCTAAGATGTTAAAAACATGAGCAATCTTTTCAAGTTCAGATCTGCTCCTCTCTGCTAGGTTCAACACATGGTGGTCCGCTGCACTCACAAGTGAATTGTGGAGATCCATATTGATTGCCAGAAGATACAGGTAAGCTATAAATTGTTTGGGGGTACAGAATAATTTAATTTGATTCCCGTAAATAATTCTGAGGATTGCAAGATACCATAGAGTAAAGGAAAATCCTTGCCCTAGTCATTTTATTGGAATAAACTGCATCTTTCTTCTGAGTGCATGTCTAGTCTAGGAATTATTCACTTTTCCTACTACTGGTCCAGCACCAGTACAGTTCCAGGAAAAGATGAACAGCAAAGTTAGACAACACAAGGTTATAAACATACGCACCTGTTTGCACTACAGCTTCCACTATTCTAGACATCAGATAAGAATGTTATTTTTACCTTAGGAGGTACAAAGTACTCTTCACTGGTAAATATTAAATCTTGGAATCTCAAGAATTTTATTACCATTGCTTTTGGAATGGTTGGTAAAGGGCTACAACGTGGATTATAATACAAATACAGACCCAGTATCCTCCTATTGCAAAAATTTCCTTAAGGAAGCTATTTATAGATAACAGCATATCTCCTCCTTCTCCTCTAGGAAGATATACCAGTCTTGGCCATTCTTCTTGTTCTGTATTCAAAAATTTTCCTGGATCTTTACAAATCCTGTTTGATTTTTCCAATTTTAAGAACAAGGTGTCACTACCCTATCCTCAATGCTCCCCATGCAGAGTTCTATCACAGAAAGTCTTTCTTGGAAGTTCTTTATACCAGACTTAATATTATCAGTTGTCTCATACACAAAAGTCGTCTGCACTGAAAACTCATATTTCTTTGCCTTTCCCACTGAATGTTCCACAGTGCAACTTTCAGGCTTCTTAAGCTGGCCTCCTTACCCTTTGCCCGGGAGCTGAGCAGGTTACCACTGCCAGTTGTGCAGCCTGGCAAGTCTTAGTTGAAATCAGTGGACCTGAGTCTTTCTGGTGTGGCCTCTCAAAACAGAGCTAATCAAAAATCAGAATTTCCATTTAGTAGGAAATTTCAAAGAAGTCTTTGTTCTGATTTGGAATACAATTTTTCCTGCAGACAGAAAATATCAAAAATTTATCATTTAGGAAAAATCAAACTGTATCAGTCCAATTTCCTTTCTTTATGAAATGCAGCAGGTGACTGCTCTGACTCCTGGAGACTCACCGGGCAGCCCAGGTGGTGCCTGGGAATTATTGGAATCCCCTGGGCAGAGCAGGGCAGAGCCAGAAGTTCTGAGAGCTCTTGCCTGAGCTAGGGTTCCCAGGGCTTCCAATTGCTAGCTCTGGGAGAGTGTGCATGGCAGGGCTGCTCCTGAGCCATGGAACCTGGAAGCCCTTGAGTCCCCAGCAGGCCACCAAGTGAGCTGGCAGGAAACAAGGCAGGTTTTGTCACAATCCTGCCTCTGTTTTGGCAAAGGTTTGTTGAAAACGAAACATTTCCACAAAACATTTCAGGTTAGAAAAATCTGCATGGGGGGGGGGGAAGGGGAGAATAAATAAAGTCAGAACATTCCTGACCAGCTTTACCCTTTACATCACACCTGTGGCATAAAGGGACACAATCAGCCCCTGTCAAATCCACCTGTGTTAGGAGGGATGCTCCAGCCAGCAAAAGAGCTCTGCATGGGTCCCTCTCCCAGACCCAACACAGAAGGCAAGTCAGGGGCAGGCTGTGGATGAGCCAGGGGAGGGAGGGGGCATTGCAAGTTTATTTTTAAAAAGCATCACATATACGTGGCAAATAAATTTTCATTATTGACAAGTAGTTCTCCCATCTTGAATATTAAGAAGAATATTTTGTCCTCACTTAAACCTGTGTGCCTTGAATTCTCACACAATTTAAAATGAGAGCTGCAATATTCACGTGTTACTTGAATTATGCAAAATCAGCTACAGGCATACATAAAATGTCATGTATCTGAGAGTCATTTTGTAAGGGCAGGAGATGAGTGGGTTTTATGTTCTTCCAATTCCCCCTCCCCCCCCCAAAAAGAGAGAAATATGTAAAAAACAGAACTTGATAGAAGTTCCACACACATTCTCTAGCAACAAGCACACAAACTTGAAAAAGGAAGGTATGCAGCTATAGTTTGCACACTGAGTATACTCCAGTCATCCCATTGTATAAACATAAATCCATGTTCCATTCAGGTATAATTACATAACACCTTAATTGCTAACAAATATTAACAGTATTATTTTTATAGGACAAGTACACAGGTTAAGTGTCACTACTTATGATAAGTCAATCAGCAAAGTCTTGCACAGGATAGTAAAATGGAAGGAAGAGAAAAGTTATTGAAACTGCCTAGAGCAGTGGGTCTCAAACTTTTTTACTGGAGACCCCTTTCACATCACAAGCCTCTGAGTGCGAACCTCCTAATAAATTAAACACCCTTTTTAATATATTTAACACCATTATAAATGCTGGAGACAAGCAGGGTTTGGGTGGAGGTTGACCACTTGCGATCCCCCCATGTAATGACCTCACAACCTCCTGAGGGGTCCCGACCCCCAGTTTGAGAACCCCTGGCCTAGAGTATACATCCACAAGATAGCTAACCACAAAAGATCAAGTCATCTTTCTCAAAGCTTATCATAAAATTGATAATCACTTACCACTTACAGTTCATGCTATGATCAGTCAAAGATCAAACCTAAACAACAGTGTAAGTTGTAACAGCAAGCTCACAGAACAGGAGTTTAAAACTGGTTTCATGTTCATAAGAAATGTAAAGCTTTGCAATCTGAGATTTCACTGAGTCTTCTTCCCCTCCTCTTTTCCAGCTTCTTATCTCCAATTAATAAAAAAAAAAGGATAGAGGCTTATTTAAACAATACTGATGGACCTCTGCTTTTATCGTATCAGAAGAAATGAAAGTACCAGCCCATATCCATTTATAAAATCAGTGTAAAAATACAGGCAGAGGAGTTCCCCTGTTTCATATTATGGGTGTTACATGTTTTATACTAGTCAGGTATGCCTCCTCTGAGCCACATGAGAGACACTATACATTACCTAATACACTTTCACAAATCTATTGGAATTGGGAATATAAGGATTTAGTCAATTTTCAGCTCCTACTGTTCTTTAAAAAGATTTCCTGAGCTGTGCTAAAGTAATTACACCAAATGAAACCTCTAAAAGTATTCACTCATGTTGTATCCACCAGGCAAGGTATTAACAAACTTCAACAGAACTTTATTTACAGTGGAAATCTCTTTACCGAGTTGTAGCTGCACACTCTAACTCTCCCAGCCTCCTCAACTCCTCCCCCCTCCTTCCTGTTTCCTGTCCTTTCAGACTCCCAACAGCCAGTGCTCCCAGTTCTAATAATCACTGCAGCATCTAAACACCACATTCCCTTCTCTCTTAAGAAACTTTCCAAATTAAAATAAACATTGTTCTTCTAACCACAGGAACAAATATGAAACAAGACACTATACTGTTGGCAGGAATATTACACTGAAAACACTGTAGATACTACATAACATAGTCTCTCGTCCAGGCAGGTGGTCATCTGGATCTGACAGGCCATCTCTCAAGCCCCGGTTCCAGTGCAATGTCTTGTTGTGTTGGCTCTACGGTGAAGTCATCCAATGCAGACTGGGTGTTGGCATAATCTCCTCTTAGTGCATAGGCAGGTGCAAGATAAGAAGCATTCCATACCCGCCCATCAGAAAGTCAATAGGTGTAAGGTCCCTTCTTCTCTATGATTTTAAGAGGAGCTGTGAATTTGTGGTCCCCTTTGCGTAAGATTCCAGGTTTTCGTATTCTAACAAAGGAACCACACTCAAACTTTGGTTCCTTAGCACCCCGACGCTTGTCTGTGAAAGCCTTAGACTTTGCTTGGTTCTGTTCAACTGTCTTTCTCACATTATCCTTGTTTGGGGCATCATGTCCTGCCTTTAACAATCCAGCAATGTTCGGTTTAGTATTCAGCTGTTTCCCATGCAGTAACTCTGCAGGTGATCTTTGCGCATGTCGTGTAGCCCGGTATGCTTGCAAGAAATCAGTAGTGAAGGGTATCGACAATCACCCTTCCAGATTAGCTCTTTGCAAACTCTCTTTCAAACTTCTGTTAAACCGTTCGATTTCCCCATTGGCTTGAGGGTAATATAGGGATGACCTCCTGTGTAAAATGTTCCTCTCTGCTAGAAAAGTTTCAAACTCCAGGAAGTAAATTGACTACCATTATCTGAAACCAGTTCTTTGGGGTTACCTTCCTGGCTAAAAACTGAAGAGAGGATCTTTAGCAGAAGAAATTTGCGATGTAAACGCTACCTCAGGCCAGTTGCTGAAATAGTCTATTAAAGTGATGGCATAACGACAGCCAATTGGAGCAGTATCAAAGGGTCCTACAATGTCAATCACCACTTTTTCCCATGCAGATTCAGGAAGAGGAACAGGCTGTAATGGAGGGGTACATGTCACTGCTATCTTATCATGCATTTGGCAAGTGACACAGAAATGCTTCAGTCTGAGAGTCCATCCCTGGCCACCAATACACATCCCGTAGTCGTTGTTTGGTTCTGACAATTCCTTGATGAGTATCGTGTGCCAGGTGTATGAGTTTTGACTGTAATCCTTCTGGCACAAGTAGCCGGTGTGCACCTCATAGCACACAGCCATCAAGCAAAGAAAGTTCATCCCGAACTCTAAAATAAGGCAGCAAAACTGGGTCAAGGTTTTTAGGGTTACTGGGCCATCTCTTTGTCAGAAATTCCCATAATTTTTGTTGAATTGGACACGCTGAACAAGCAGCTTGAAATTGTTCTCTTGTAACTGCAGTAAGAGTGCTTGTAATAAGCGCAACTACTACATCCTCATCCTCCGGTGGACATCTGGTGAAGGCAAAGGCAGGTGAGAAAGGCAATCAGCTACCACATTTTCGTTTCCAGGGTTATATTCCAGTTCATAATTGAAAGAGAGTA